GACCATTAATAAACCAAAGGAACAAATCTGAATAATTTGTATATTATTAGCCAATTGTCATATGTATCTTGTTGTGGGTTTGTGAATGCTAATGTACTGTTATCTTGGGGACGAAATCGATTTCAGGTCGGGTTCGGTGGATGTTGTTTGTCCCCAACATGTCCATGTCTGAAACTTCATTAAAGGGTTTTGTTGAGCAAATTTCGTCTTTATTTTCACTGTTTATTGTTTAATTTTGGTCAATCCCATGTCCATCCATAGCGTTTGTTTACATAAAATTCCTTAAGGGCAGTACACCGATTAAAAATCAAATTCTTGGCTGATTTAACGAACATTTTATAGATTAACAACTTGAACAAACCAGTTTAAAATTTTAATGGGAAGAAATTTCAGAATTGGCGTATCATTCCATCTACATCCTTAAGGATTTTAATTAGAAAAAAAAATCAATCTCTTCGGACCGAGTACAGAGATTTCTAATCTAAAAGCCATTTTGTTTAGCTGGAAATCTATGCCACACAGAGCGTTAATTAATAAACTCTTTGTACCTTTCCCTGTCAACATAACTGTTAATAAACTTCGTCAGATGTCATTTTTGTTCTTTCTCGAAAGTTCATTATTGATGTGAATTAAATACGTAAATCATTTATACAACATCTTAGACAATCCCAAAGTATACATATGTACATGCTAATAGACAGGCGTTCATATTTGTACTCTACTTCATATACTTGTCGACTTTTTCTTGATTTCATGTTTTGTTCTCCCGATTAAGAGAGGAGAATACTGTGTACGTATTTATAAGCAAAATCAAATTGTGTAGGATGAAATTCGTCAATCAAATCTTTCTGTCAAAAACACGTAAAAAATTTATACTTCCCATAACATATGTTTCTTGCAAGGATACCAAAGATCTCTAATCTTAATATAATGTACTACAGTCTGGACATTATGATGTATAGGATCAGACTGAATCTAAATTTGATGTATTCACAATCTCTCGAGAGTATTTAGAACAAGGTTTATGTAACCGATTCCTATTAAGACATTGAAAATACATGTACTAGAGTAGATGCTTTCAACAGTTGGCTTCATCAACCTTGATATCTTTAGATCTAACAGCAGATTTAAAATTCATCTCTGAAGAGTTATGTTACACACAATGTGTAAAAACTACCCATGATTTTTCAATTATGTCACTTTTTTCTTCAATATTTTTCGTTTATCGAAAATTGATCAAATAGTTTAAGGAACGTTTTCGTCATTTTGTTTTTAAGATATATTCAGAAGTTAATCATATAATTTAAAATCTGTATATTGTAGCCTTGCTATTGCTATATTTCTTGCGTGTTAAGGTTGTATGCTTATATTCAGCATCCTTCAACTTCGAATGCCATTTGCTGATTGACCTTCCTTTGGGAGCGATATAAATATGCTATGAATAATGACCAGCAGATTTAACATCGTTTAATCAAGTGAGCCATTTTGCACTCCACTGAAAAAAATTCAACCTCTTGTTACTTTCACTCAGTAGGAGCCAAAAGATATAAAAAGGAAAATCAGCTTGCTTACAGTATTTTGTGTTCGTAAAGGCAAGTGTATAGATCTGAATAGTCATCAATCATTCCGGATCGGTCTTCTTTGACGGGTTCAGATTTTGTATCATCCCTTCACTATCCGCTGTTTCAGCCGATGTATCAATCACTTCCTTAATCATGCGTCTGGTTATACTTTTCTCACTTTATCGGAAGAAAGAACGCTCTAGTGTGCTTTGAGAGAAAAAAAGGCGGTCAAGTTATCCATGCATGACTTCGCTTACTAGGATTTCCAGTTTCTTTAATTTGATCAGTGTAATTCCATCTACCTTTTTTAAATATTTATGTCTAAGACTGAAAAAAGTCATCAGTGTAAAACCATCTGGAAACGAGAATTTTGTGGGGCAAAGGAGTTACATGTAATAATTTTAAAACCTTCATAATGAAGGTATACAATTTGCTTGAAGTCAATATAACACGTACATGTAATTAAAGAGACCCGGATTCATTTGTTGCATACTTTGTATTTTATATTTTTTCATACATTATTTGTGTATTGCTTGGTGTAATTTTTTACAGCATTGGTTGCATAATATGTATAATATCATGTTTGCTTTTTAAAGGCCAACGTGTATCAATTTCAACCATAATTAAAAACCAGTAACATCTGTTTCAAATGACGTATTGTGTTCTGATATTCATTAGCATCATAAATTAGGTGTTTATTGTCAGGTTTTAATATTTAACTACATCACAAATAGAGCGTGTATATAAAATGAAAATTTCCCAATTGTTGCATGCTTACGTTCATTAATTTTATATCAACAAATAATTTGATATATTTTATGTTTTTATAATTATAATTATGTAATTTTTTATAAACAAAAAACATACAATTTTTCAATCACCGTGTGAGTTAAAATATTGTCGACCTGAGTGTAGGGTGGGGGTTAAAAACAAGTATTAAATTTATCAATCGTAATGCGTCTAGAACTTGAAGGATAAGAAGAGGAAGAGGGTGTTCAAAACTTACTTTTAAAAATGCAACCAAATTAAATAAAAAATTTAAAAAAAAAACTTTTTACAGCATAAATTGATTTTTTAGTCATAAAATCACCTGCATTTTATACCCCGAAAGAATTTGCTGGATTTTAATGTTAAATTTGAGAAGCATGTATGTATTAGCTGTGGCTAAAAATAAAGAATGAAGCTCTGTCAACATAATTCTTTAAAACACACACACACACAAACAAACATGGTCCTCATGAGGAAAGACGACACCATTTGAATGAATTTTATCTCTTGTCATCAACGTAAAAAAATTAATGTAGCCTGGCTTTTGAAGTAAAAACACACTTGCTCAATCATTATGCTTTATCATGATAATTTTTAATACAGCGCTACGACATTTGATTAAATTTAATGGAAAAAAGTATGTAAATCAATGAACTTGAAAAGAAAATGTATGGATTCCGGGTTTTCAACACACTAGGTCACAATATGTTGCTGTAATAAATATATATATATATATATATAACTGATCCTGATCTAAATATAACATCTCACTACTGGTGGTGTCTCTGATGTCAGATTTTTTTTCATTATTCCTGGTCTCTTCTGACCTTCTTTTTTAGATTGCTAAATTAATATATTATTTCCAATTTGGGGGGGGGGGGGGGGGGCTAACATAGTTAATAGATGCTTCCATCAACTTTTAGCATTAAGAGAAAATGTGACGGCTTTATATAAAACGGATCAAATATCTATTTTCCGTTAGATCATTGTCTATAAAATGAAATTTATTTTAATAATACATACATACATACATATATACATATATATATATATGCAGGTATTAATAGTCATTTGAGAGAGAGAGAGAGAGATTTTTAAAAATAGAAAATAGTTTAAGCAAAACGAACAAGAGGCAAATTTTATACTTTTCACCATTTCATCAACGATATGAGCAATAAAGAAAAAAAAAAACTCAACACCAATTCGTCTAATACAAAGTACATGTTGGAGGCGATAAATACTCTTAAGCAAGATGTCATTACAGAATTGATACAAAACCACAAGTTTTACGATCAATATGTCTTTTGCAAAACAGCTCTATTACCAAAAAGACCTTTCAGAAAATTCCACTTTTCAGAAGTCTTCATGGCATCATTAGACGTTTTCTTACCCGCTGTGATGAAAATGCTAATGGCGGGGACAACTTCCGCTTTACTTTCCACATTTTAGTCCTTAATACCTTGATATGTGTGTGGCAAGAGTTAATATTTTGAGGTTAATCTTTCTGAATCAAATTTACAAGACCCATTTGATATATATGTTTATGTTTAATGCAAACATTCAACATGTTAATTTAAATAGTAAAAACAAAACATATCGGATCGCTTTAGAAGTGGTCTTTATCGGATATGTTTATCAAAATATTTTGAAGATTTCTTTAAACCTCGTAAAAGATACAAGCACCAAGAATAAGATTTACAGCATTTAATTAGCAGTGCTAAAGATAACCGTTTACTCTATGCTGAATTGAATGAACTTAGAATTTTTAAAGCAATACACTTCAGAGCATATTTTACAAGTTTTGCAACCTAGATTTATTTTTACACCTATCAGAAAATATTACTGTCATCACTGCAGTTCTCACCGAGTCGAAAATAAATGCATTAGTTTTTTTTTTTATATGTGCGATATCATGTCAAAAGCAACTGGTTCAAAAATACAGACGCCAATTCTTCCTCCAAATGTTTATATATTTTAGAGATAGCACTCCGCTAGAATCAAAGGCGGCAGTATCATATCTGTTATCCTAAGCATGGAATCGCTCAGTTTTATCAGAAAGGTTGGGTTAAACCGTTTTGACTTTCTCTCCTATATTTTTTTTTCTTCTGTGGTTTTATATAACCACTTCTACATAAACCCTTACCGCTTTAAGTTTTTATGTGTTTTTTGGATGGATGTTTTAGTCTTTATAATTATATGGGTGTCAAAGTTTTCTATTTTTAAGACTTTATCATAAAGCATGTTACATTTACGGGCTCTTCAGAAGAGAAAAGATGGTGGCAAGAAAAACGAGCAAATGAGTGAACTTTGCTTAGGCATCCACGAGATTGACATTTACCTAAAAGTTTACTTTTGTGTTTTTAAGTGTACACCCGTATTTTAGCACTATCCTGATTTGAGGACCCTGTCTTTGTGTGTTTATATTTGAGCTTTGAGCCGACATTTAAGTGCACTGTTCTAAGAAATATTAAAATCATGTACCAGCCAAAGGGATCGACACGTGCCGATATACTGAATTAAAAGAAGGAACAGGCAATAATCAAATAATCAATTTTGTTATTTTGCACAAGCTGATGCCACGGTTATTTATTTTTTATCAATGTTTATTCAGTGCTGCAGTGGTGCAGAAGAATGATATGCTAATATAAAGTGTTTTCTCTTCATTCTCAGGACATTCACCGGGATATAACTGCACGGTTCCGGATCATATACTAGGACAATAAAACTGGGAAGAGATCAATGCATTGTCTAAGGTAAGCCCTTTTATCATTGTTCATGTAGATCGTTACACGAGATTATTTCAGTCTTAATTACACTATTAAATGTAGAGTTTTTTTCCACGGTTGATAGACAATTCCGTTTATTGACAATATACTCCTTCAAGACGACTTTAACAAGACTTGCTTACCGTGCATTAAGTTATAATATAATAATGATTAAAAACTCTTATGGTGAAGCAGTTAAAGTTTCAAACAAATTTAATTTGTTTTTCTGCTTATTGAGTATTGTAGCCTATTACATGTATTGATATCTTTCTTTTTATATTGCACTAAAGAAAATTTATTTATTCCTCTATTTCAAAACAAATGCTAGTAGTTTAAATGTAAAAAAAAAAAAAAAAAAAAAAAAAAAAAAAAAAAAAAAAAAAAAAAAAAGCAGAGACAAGTGTGATCCCTGAATGAATTTAAATACAATGAGTGAAAAGTAAATTTATTTAATTTTTAATTATTCTTGTAACCTAAAACTTCTTACCCACTAAAAAACACATTAACTGAATTTCTAAGTTATCAGTAATTGATACTTCTGTTGTGTTGACTGGGTCGAGGATGATACAAATAACTTCTTTTTTGTTGAAAGCTTTTATTTTCTATCATCCTTTATCAAAGATGATACCGCGGTACATTAGCAGATCAGAGTTGAAAAGGGCATTGCATGAAATCGTAATAACAGAGATAAAATAAATATTAGCATGTTCCCGGTGTGTAGCAATTTAGGGGTTATGTTTTCATGGATTGTGGGGGAGTTTTGAGATTTTTCCTAGATAATGTTCTCAAGATGGAAACAGCGTTTCCGGGTCCAAGCTGGTTTTTCCTTTTAAAATACTTCATTTTCCTTCAAGCTTTATCGAAAGTGCTTTTTCTTATCCCGCTTGAAAAAGCTGTTGAAGCTATCACCGAGTAATTCGATAGATATAGCGTTTTAACAAATGAATGCTATTATTTTAGGTTCAACATCCATTAAGATGATGACAAGCGATTTCTGAGCAGCCACGGAGCGATAAGACTATCAGAAACTAGCCATCTTCCTGCACTCGGAGCACAAGATTTTTAATTGCAGACCGAAACATGGAACCATACAATGGGACTATGATTTACAATGATCTTTTCAATGTTACAACGTACGACATTCGATTGGACAATAATTCCGATACTTCGTTGACATGTCCAGAAAAATCAAATGATAATGGAACGGAATTGACAGGGTTGTACAAATTCAATGTTATGTATGCAGGAGTTCACGGTTATCTAAGTGTAGTGGTGTGCCTTTTTGGAATCGTTGCAAATAGTGTTAACATTGTCGTTTTAACAAGAAAAAATATGCTGTCCTCGACAAACGTGTTACTCACGTGGCTTGCAGTGGCAGATCTTTTCACCATGCTGAGTTATTTCCCCTTCGCTCTTCATTTTTTCATCTTTAAAGAACCTGAATTGTTTTATTTTACGACACGTTACTTCGGGTGGATATGTTTCCTGCTTTTTCATGCCAGCTTCAGCATCGTTTGTCATACCGTGGCTATTTGGTTAACAATAGCATTGGCCATATTCCGATTCTTGTACATTTGGTTTCCCACAAGGGGTGCGACATATTGCTCTCTTGCAAAGGCCAGACTTGCTATAACCTGTACTATTGTATCAACTATCATATGTCTTGTCCCAAATTACATCATCAATGTGAACGGACAGATGTTATATTGCGATCCCAAGACGAACACAAACGAAACTATCCACACCATTGAATACCGTGTAGGTGGGGTGTTTGGCATTTTAGAAAAACTAAATTATTGGGTACAAGCAATTTTTGTGAAGCTTATTCCGTGTGTAATGCTTACTATTCTAACCGTCCTGCTAATTGTAGCAATGCACAAGGCTTACAAGAAAAGGATGGCTCTCAAAAATCAGGGGAAAAAGGACGAGTCGGACAAACATAACGAACACAACAGAACAACACTGATGTTGTTCACCGTTGTTGTCCTATTTCTGATTACAGAGTTCCCGCAAGGTGTGTTAACTCTAATGAGCAGTTTCAATAAAGAGTACCATCGAGAAATTTACGAAAATTTAGGGAACCTTCTCGACATGACGGCTCTGTTGAACAACTCTATCAATTTCGTCCTGTACTGTACCATGAGCAGACAATTTCGCCATACATTCATTAGTATATTTTGTAAGTGTTGTCCAGATAAGAAGCCCGGATGGAGAAAAATGGGAGTCGTAAGTACGGAGAAAAATGGATTCGCCACTGTTACAACACATGTGTGACATCATATTCCAAAAATGAACTTCGTACGGAAGAAAATCAATTAAAATTGCTTTGTGACGAGTGGTATCTCGTAAAAGCATTTTCACATTTCCATATTTAAATTTCCTCAGATCCCTGGATTTACATACCCCAGGACATCGAAACACTGGTGCAGAGAAAGTGACTGATGACAATGCCAAGTTAGTTGGACATCTGCGTTCTGATTGTAACGAAACTTGTCCATTTGCACGTGATATTACTTTATATTTTAATTTACTTAACACTATCGTAGAATCATGAAAAAAAGAAAAAAAATCTGCATGTTACATAGCTGCCAAACAACTAGCTAATAATAATTTTTACACAAAGTATTGCAATTTATTACAAATTATAGCACGTTTTAAGAAGTATGTTTTCTACTTGTCTACATATTTATGTCGATGCTAGATTCCTACATAAACATGTAGATCAGTGTCAGAATTTGAACAAACCAATTTCATTTAACACTAAAATGAAAGTTTACATAATGAGCAAACCGATTCTTAAAACTCTGCAATTAGTACCGGTGAATGTAGTTTTTAATTTTTTGTAAATATCATGTTTTGTAAAATTCTTTTTTGATAATCTTAGTCCTGAAATACATGTACTTCATTTTTTCCCCTTTGAAAATGCCAAAAGCGATGGCAGTTATGAGCATTTAGATTTAGTTCTCACCGATTTTCAAAAACGTTAACTATCTCAAAAAGTCTGTGAACCTAATTTTCCCCCCTTGTGCAAACTCTTAAAAATACCTCTTCATAACAAATGTATAAATAATTAACATGCGCCTATTAATAGTTAAGAATGCAGTTTCCCGTTTCTGATTTAATTTAATTTAAAGAAGAGTTTATTTTTTTTAAAAGATCGATCCCTTAACAATGAGTTATTTAATTTTTTTAAGCTAAAAAGTATGTTGCTATGAATGATTTATTGTGCCAGGTTGTTTTTGTTCGATCTCCGATCTGTTGATTGTTCGTAAGTGTAATTTTACTTTGTGAATGAAATTGTAAATATTTTTAGCTAATCAGCCCCCCACACATAAGTAGTAAATTGTATATATACACATTGTCTTGCGGTGTTGTATCTGGTATCTCGGTTCGATTCCCCTATTTTAGCTTTAGATATATGTCATTCAAGGGATGATTTTATCAAATATAGAATATACATGAAAGATGGAAATATTTTTACAAACTAAAGATTGAATTTGATGACGTAATTTTTCTTTAGGTTGGGGGCATAATTAATTTAATTGTCTGTCTTTGTATTTAGCTGTTTTCTTGTCTGACTAGACCTTTTTCTTTGTATACTTTTAACTATACTATTAGAGACTCCATTTTGTATTAAATTGAAGGTAATAATTCAGTTTTTAGTTCAAGGTCAGGCTTATTCAAATGAAAGGTCAGAAATGTGACCCTGTATTGCTATGGTTAGATTTAATTTATGAGCTCAGTAAAAAAAAAAAACGTGTCCATTTTTCACAAATAAAATCAGGCTTGCATGCATCCCTATCAGCTTTCCTCATTAGCACAAAAAAGCGTTTACAGATCTGCAAATTGCACATCAACAGCATTGCATAAAAGCTGAGAGCGCATAATTAACACGTCTGTAATATTACTATATGCCACGTCATCTGGTGTCATTGTCCGTTAAATTGTACCTTTCGAGTGTTGAACTGTTTCCTAGACATTTTTAAGACTTGAAATCTCGTTATGTAAGAATCCAGAAAGTTTTTATTAAAAAATTCAGTTATTTTTTTAACTTCCGTCCACTAGTACTATTCTGAAAAAAACGTCAGCAGTATTTAATGCATAAAGTTTCAAAATGAATGATATCATTGTTTCTGGACTGTTTATTCAATACCTTATATGGTATGAAAAGATAATTTTATAACAATGATCGTTATTATCGGCAAGATACTATTGGATGTTTTCAATTACATCATCATAGAAATGTGTTAACACTTTGTTTTTGTCTTGTTATTTCATGTATAAAATGCCTTAACACGTTTTCGTCTTGCTGTTATAGAGAATTGTGAGTGTATAAGTACGTGTATTGACTGGTTGTCAGTTGTGAATAAAAGTTGTCGTCATGAAAACAGTGTGTTTATGATGCTTCCACCATTTGAAATTAACGAGTAGTAAGAAATTACTGAAATCGATATTGTCCGTAATTTTGTGTATATTTCGAATGAGAAAAATACTTGGCATAAAATTTTTTTTTCTCCTCTTAGCAACATCCATTATGATTTCGAAGATTCTCGATCAGATCTCAAAGGTAACGAGAAAACTTTGTGTAGTTCGGCGAGGTCGGTACCTCTAACCATATAAAGAAGTAAAGCAGGGGTTGCGCACGAGATTAACTAGTTTAAATTTAAAGTACAAAGTACTTTACAAAGTAAAGTGTGAACGGCATTTAAATGGTTGCACACAACAGACATATGAACATAGGTTTGTTATTAATAAACACAGGCAGGTACATGTAGTTGGGAGGGGTGTCCCCATTTCCAAACATATTATGAACCGTGAACTCCCCCCTCCCCCCGCGCCTTCCCTTAATAGTATTTCCGAGCTCGGGTTATTTATTTTTATTTTGTTGCTTGTCGAAGAATTTCAGGCAAGATGTCATTTATTTTCCCAACATTCTAGCAATTCATGCTATCTCAAAGTCCCCATTGAAATCATTGTTAATTTTAACAGGATTTTTTTTTCAACGAAACTGAACAATATTTAAAATAAATCTGAATGTCCACTACATCGTCAGATAATGGAATGTATGACTTTGAAGTTAAATGATTAATTCTTTTTGATAATCAGTTCATTGAACCACAATGGATAATAGCATCAAAATACGTTTAGATAAACCTAACAATTCAAAATTATTGCATTTATTTATGAAATTTGAATGTACTCTTTCTTGCAATGACAGTACAGTTAAATAAGATATCTTCTTACACTTAGATTTAAATTTATCAAACTCTTTAACATGGCTATGAACATCAGCAACTTACAATGCCATTTAATTTAATAAATATTTTTTTTTTTTAATGTAAAAGCTCCATGGTGGATTTGAATGAAAATTCTGAGAATTCTACACCAACGTTTCTTTTAGAGAGCAAATGGCAAAATAATCGTCGAAAACAATCTCTAAATTTAGAATTGAGATAGCTTTTTTATCTATGTTTATAAATTTATATCACAGCGTGTTCTAAATTTATCATTTTTATGAATCTACAAATAAACATCTTTCTGTTTCACCCTTATTAAACAGATGTGTATATTCAAACAGTCTTAGTCATACATTTTGAGGAATGGCATGGCAAACGTATTTATAATCAAGTAATAGTTTTCTTGAAATATAAATAAATATAAACGGAAGAATAAATTAGAGGACGCTTTTATGAATTGAATGAACACGCATGCATCTGATAAAGAGGCACAGATGTGCAAACTGCTCTACAATATAACTTCAGAGTCAACTATAATGAAATCACATGGAAGCGCAAAAACAAAAATAACCCCTTTAGAAAACAGAAGCGTTAAAAATTACATTTTCCCTACACTTTCTGCACTAAGAAATCTATTGCAATATTAACTGGTATATTTCTTTTATGATTAGATTTTTAAAAAATGATCATATGCAGTATTTACCTACATTGTTCATTAGGTACTAATTACGTAGTTTATGCATACTTTCCAGGCCCGTAGGAAGCAATTTCAGTTTGGGGGGGGGGGGGGGGGCGGGGGCACAGCCATACATTTTCAGTTGAGAGGGCACTATCAACTACCAAAAATTTCTCGACAAGCAAAAAAAAAAAAAAAAAAGGTCATCAGACGTTTTTATTGAGAGGGCACAGGCATATAGTATCTATGTTTTCTATAGTAATCTATATATCGGCAAAATTATTGGGGGGGGGGGGCACGGCCCCGTGCCCCCCCCCCCCCGGTTCCTACGGCCATGCTTTCCCACTCGCGACATTTATTTTTTCTTGCTTGAAGTTTCTCTCCGAACGGAAAGAAGTAAAAAGGATGTTTTTTTTAACCAATTAACAAAGGGGAAAGCATTTTCCATTTCATTTTTATCAGCGGATGAGTCAATGAGTACGTCGATAATCTCTAGATAAAGAAAGCTCCACTAATGACCGTATGCACCTGGAATTAAATTGATAATAGGGAAAGCTAAAACATGGAAGAATATATGGAAAATAATGAGACGTCTTTTACGCTTTGTTAATAATGTTTTATAAAACCGTGGGTAGTTGATGGAATTCTAAAAATATTTATATTAAAAAACCTGCAAAGCCTTGTCATGGTTTAATGAAGCAGCAAGAAATGGCTTAGTTTTTAGAAAAATAACCTTTTAAATTATCCTTAAGGTACATCAATCTCGATCCATTATTATATTAAAAGTACTCTGTTAATAACAATAAGCTTTATTATAAAAACCTGGAATTTCAAGGCAGCACACCATGCCTCTAGAGTGTCTTTCGATTGACAGTTTAATTATATACTTCTCAATGTATACGTTTTTGTTTTAAACATGACAATTTATTGTAATGTATATAATTAAGAAAACAACTGCAAGCTATCATGGCGAGGGTTATCGATTCAAATTGACCCCAAAAAAATAAATAAATAAAAAAAAAAAAAAAAAAAAAAAAAAAAAAAAGAGGGGCATAATTTACAAATAGTGATTAGCTTGTGATTATAATTTTCTAGAAAACAGAGAACAAAGCACATGAACCCAATCTCTGTCTTTCTTATTAGAAATGTTTTATACTAGCGTTAGTCGTATGTAGATTCGGTAGATTTTCTTCCTAATATTGTTCAAAATATACGTAAATATTTGTATGTCAAGGAAATTTGTGGCGCAGTGGTTAGAGCGTTCGCTCTAGAGTCGCGAAGTAAGGAGTTGATCCTTACGTCGCGGGTTTGAATCCCAGTGTGGGACGTGGAGACCGGTCCTTCGGATGAGACCGAATAAACCGAGGTCCCGTGTCGCAGTATAGGTGCTGGCACGAAAAAGATCCCTCACTGCACAATGGCCCTAAGTGCCGAGTATAGGTCAAACATTTGCAGCTCTCTATCGGCAAGTGGTGGCGTCTCCACATGAGTGAAAAATTCTCGAGAGGGACGTTAAACAAACAAACAAATGCCTGAATTTAATTGCCAGTTCTCGACTTTTCTTTCGAATACTTGCTTTATATCACGTGGTTCTTCAGAACCGGTTTTAAACTTTATGATATATAGTCATGCATTCTGTTCAATATAATAAAGCTGCAGGCTGTCGTTGCTAAGTCCAAATACTGTTTTATTGTAAATTCCACTTTCAATAGAAAGTAATCAATGGATTTAAAGGAGAATTACCATTTTAGTCAGAATCTTGTTCATCATATTTTTATGGATATTTCGATTATAAATGTACATGCAATCTTTTCATACTAACATCCTTGTGTACTGCATTGTGCCTCAATGAAAGTGTCGAATTAGCGTTGACTGTCTTAAAAAGTTCATTTTTGACATTTATCAACTATATTTGAAGCCACATAGTGAAGAATATGCAAAAATCACTTTCCAAATCAAGCAACTTAAGTTTGCACAATCTAATCATCATTCAACCATAGACAATTTTGCATATTACCTATATAAATGATAACCATCATCCAATGAGTAACTCTTTAATTAACTTAGGATGACTGATACCTGAAACATATAGAAATAATATTACATTACATAAATGATTAGTTATCTCCTCCCCCGGGGACAAGTTTTTTAGGCATTAATAAAACTTAAAAGGTCTGTATAAATCAAATATCAAATTACGGAATGTTTCATATCACAACTGTACTTCAGTCACTAGTAATTAAAGATCAATTGAACTGTCTAATAATCAGTTATTCTCTGCAGAATCCATGGAATCCTGTCTAGTATTGCGGCGTGGTCTTCCAGGCGTCAACAACTCTTTCTTTCCAGGTGCATTGTGCGGCTGAAGACGAGCCAGAGCGCGGGGTAAACGTGTGACCTTCGGTTTGTCTTCATGTTCTGTCGGAGGAGCGACTTCGTCCTTGTCCGTCAATAGTCGTCTTGGCGATAAACGCGACTTAGCGGTTGATTTTGGGGTCACGACTGCAGGTGAGACCTCTCCAGATGTAGCAGGTGAACCATGGTTAACAGGTGGTGGAACAGAAGGGCCATCCACCCTGGGAGTCACATGCGAAGGTTGTGGTGTGCTACATTTCAATGGATTTAGAGTCAATGTTTTCTGAGTCGAGGATGAACCATCTGTAACAGTCTTTTCTGAAGGCTGTGGCATTCTCGGCATCGTTTCAATCGCACTGGGTGAATTGCTGTTAAACGGGGTGAATTTCCTCAGATGCTGGCGATTTCTTAGCGTAACCCTTCCTGTGCCATCTACACGTACCACATACTGGTGGTATTGGCGGACCTCAACAACAACTCCAGTGCGTTCCCATCTCCTTGGGTGGTTGCCCATTAAGTTTTGGATATACACATGGTCTCCAACCTGCAGTGGTGGTAGCTGATGGGTATGCTCATTCCATCTTTCATGCTCTCTTGAGTGGCGTTTGGCAAGAGCTAACTCTCTACTCGACATCAGTTCCTTCCATGTATCATGAGGCGAATATCTACCCATTACGATTGGTACGGCATCTCTGATTGGACGACCAAACAGGATCAAGGCTGGGGATGCCTTCGTCTCTGGATCAATGGAGTTCCTGTATATAAGTAAAGCCCTCTGAAACTTATCCACGTCTAAGGAACCATTGGCTGTGATGTTGTCCGCAAGCATACGTTTTACCATCTTCACTGCAACTTCAGCTCTGCAGTTGGCATGTGGATTTGCAACTGATGAGATTCTATGTCTGACTCCCCAGGCTTTCAGGAATTCCTGTGTCTTTCCAGCTGTATACTGAGGACCTCCATCTGATGTTAATTCCTCTGGGATACCAAATGTGACAAACGTCTCACGAAGGCGCTTCACCAGTCCATCCGCTCCAGACTCCGATCTGTATACCATGGGCCAGTTGGAGTACCTGTCCACAACGACAACATAATCCTTACTGTTGTAGGTGAAGTAGTC